GAGTATTACATAGGTGATTATCCAAATTTCACCGTATGTGGGTTTTAAACTCACAACCTACCACTTGGAGGGTTGACAACTTATCCACTTCACTAAGTCGCCACACCCCTATAATTTTATTTTTAAAATATTATAGAAAGAATAAAAACTTAAACTAATTTATCTGTAACCTAAATCAATAAAAGTGATCAAGATTTATTTAGATTCAGATATTAGTAATTATATATAGAAGGTTAGTTTAATATTTGATCTATTGAATATACTAAGTGTTTATTTTTGAACTAATAGAATTAAATAAAAAAGAATATAATAGAAATGAGACAGAATTTGATAATAGGTTATATTTAGAAGATTAAGTTGTAGATTTTGAGATACAATAAAGGATCTAGATTTTATAACAAATTTGTTAATTAAAATAAAGTATAAGAGTGTAGCAACTTAGTGAAGTGAATAAGTTGTTATACCCCCAAGTAGTAGGTTGTGAGTTCAAAATCCACCAATGATGAAATTTAGATAATCACTTATAAAATATATAGATAGTATTATGGTAATGGCATTCTGTTGATCAGTTGGGATAGGATACCTGTAACTATGGTCATATCAGCATGACTGGCAGGTCTGGGGCATTTGTGTAACCTGTTATACAGAGGAATGCAAACTGGTAGTGGCAGTGCAAACCTAAAATAAGTCCTCAGGCTGTGCAAATTTGTAGAACTGGGAAGCTGAAGCCTACTTGGAAATTCTGAGCAAAGAGGTAACATGGATCTTTAATAGTACTACTGTAAAGGCTCGATCTAGGAAATGGATACCAATGTGAAGGATTCAGGCGAGCAAGAACCTTAGATGAGAGGTACTACCAACCAGGCCACTGGATTTCAGACTGGAGAAAAAGAATATTGAGCCAGCCTCAATATACCAAGGACAGGTCATAGTCCTTCTGGGCTATTTGGATTGGAAGTCTGGGTTCAAAGCAAGGGTATACTAAAAGTACTAGGAATATATTGTGAAGTCAGTACTAGGGTCTAAGTGAACTCTGTAAGGATAGTCCGTGTTAGTGTTCTAAAAATGAGTAGATAGTTAACAATGGGGGCCCCCTGTGCCTTACTGGCAGGTGACATACTCTGAAATGTGTAATGGCATAGAAACTAGTACAAAAAGAGTAGGTACCATACTGCTCAAACGGTATACTGGGTAGGTATATATAGGGTTAGTTTGGGGATTCCAATATGACAGGGCAGATGATCAGAGGGTTTAAATAGATAATCTCCTAGTAGGTTATAGGTACAGCATCTAGTATAGAACCTTAGAGTGGAC